TTTCATCTGAGGTCAAGTACAGTCTCTGGAGACAAACTAGCTGAGTTTGAGTTTTGGCTCTGTCACTACTAGTTCTGTGACTTTGGGCAAGTTATTTAATCTCTTTGTGCCTTGACATCTTCATCTGTAAAATGGGATTAGTAATGAGAGCTACTTATAGAATTATTGGGACAATGTGATGCATTAATACATTTATACAGCAATTTGACAATTACCTGGCAGTTGTTGAATGCATGCAAAGGCTGGCCTTTATTATTAGAATATGCAAAAAAGATAATATTACCTCACATACTTCTGGGTGTGAATGAATGAGGCTGTCATGGAAATGGCTGGCTCATTGTAGTTGCTTTGATTATATTATAATTGGGGCATAAATATAAAATTAAGTATGTTATGAAAGGGATGTTTTAAAACTGGAAATGATCTTTGGAGGTGATCTCTTTCAAATGTCTAATCTTGTAATGGAATCATTGAGGCCCAGTGAGACATTCTGGGTCACACAGTTGTCACAAGATACCTAGACCAGGACCAGATCCAGGGACTTAACACTAATCAAAGCTGGCTCTTTGTCTACCTGTTTAGCCCCATTGCATCAGGCTGGCTCCCTTTGGCTTGGGAATTTTATAGTTTCTAGCTAAATGTTTGTCTTTCTCCACTCTTTTTTTTTTTTTTTTTTTTTTTTTTTTTTTTTTTTTTTTAGGGATTGAACTCAGGTTCCCTTTACCACTGAGCCACATCCTCAGTCCTTTTTTGTATTATTTACAGACAGGGTCTCACTGAGTTGCTTAGTGCCTCATCATTGCTGAGGCTGACTTTGAACTCATGATCCTCTTGCCTCAGCCACTGGGATTATAGGCCTGTGCCCCTGCGCCTGGCTCCCACTATCTTTTATTGGTACTATGAAAAGTTTAGTTTTTTCCCCCTAAAAACATTGTGTTTTCATTGCAGCTCCTGAGATAGTTTTTTCTTCTGGTTACTACATTAGCATTTTTTAAATAAACTATCGGTTCTTATGTTTTAACCAGAATTATGATTCAGAGCTTCCTGTTTCATGTAGAGCTGTTTTGGGTGTCCAGCGTAGGGAGAGAGGAAGGACTAGGAAGTTTCACTATTGGTGGCAACAAATGCCAGATTCTTCTTCTTACTACCTTCATTAACACCCTGGGTATTTATAGACCTGTGGTCAGACCAGAGAAACAGTTGAGGAATTAGTAGTATGAGGTAACTCCTTCAGTAATGTCATGTTGTGATGCCTTTCAGCTCCAAACAATTCTAGCATTAGGTTGCAATTTATTGTATTTGTTTAGGATTTCTCCCTTGACTACTTTCTATGACAACATAGAGAAACAGAAATTACAACACAGAGTATAAAGAAAGAAATCCAGGACTGGGACCATCCGGTAGAAATGAAATGGTTATTACCAGATAATGTGAGATACTCAGGCACTGAATTTCTTTCTTTCTTTTTATTTATTTCTTACATACATGACAATAGTGGAGTGCATTACATTCATAATTATCCACTCACAGCACGATTTTTTGTAACTCTGTATTTAAAGTATGTTCACACCAAATTATGCCATTATACATGAGCTCTCATTTTTTTGCATACAATTCTTAATATACCTTTATACCATCATTTATCATATCTCTATTTGTATATAAGATATGTTGACACCAAAATCACATCTTCATACATGTATTTTGTATAATGATGACCATCACCTTCCACCATCCTTGCTATTCCCCTTCCCCCTCCCTTTCCCTCCTACCCCTATTCCCTATCTAGACGTAATTTTCCTCCCATGCTCTCCCTCCCTACCCCACTTTGAGTCACCCCCCCTTATATCAGAGAAAACATTCGGCATTTGTTTTTTTTTGGGAATTGACTAGCTTCACTTAGCATAATCTTCTCTAATGCCATCCATTTCCCTGCAAATGCCATGATCTGAATTTTTCTTCTTTCTTCTTCTGACCCTCCAAGAAAAACATCCTTAATTACATCATTGACATCTTCTGGCCAAAAATATGTCCAGATGTAGAGATAGCACCTGGCTTTGTCTATGCTAAATATTCTGGTCTTTCCACCACCCTCCCTTTGGTCTGGCTTGACCTATGAGCCACCTGTGACTCAACACTGAAAATTACTTGAAATCGTGCTGTTTCCTACTTAGCTTGAGAATGGTGAGAAGCAGGTGAGCAGGGGACTTCCTGCTGTCCAAATTCCCAACTCTGCCAAGATCTTTTCTTCCCTGGGTTCAGTACTGTGGTAATAAATAATAACAGAGCTTCCTCCTCTTACATGTCTCTGCGTTGAATAATTGTACCACCATGCACTCAAATATCAAAACCCAAATTTTGAGAAGCAGCACGTATTACTTGCTCTTGCCCCACCTGCAGGTTGCCTACCCTGCTCACCTAAATCATTTCAGTAAGAAGTGTTCCTGGCAAATACCTCCCTTCCTTTAGCAAACATAGCCTCCCTCATCCTCTGGTAAAATTTGTCTTTACTTTCTTTGTGTATTTTCCCTGCTCTGTTGTTTAGCCCTCAAGGGTATTGGCTGCATTCATTCAATCTTCTAGTTCTTTCTGCTGTGTGCCAGGGTCTGGATTGGGGCTGGAGATGCTGGGGTCATGATTACTGCCCTCTCAGGCCTTTCAGTCTCCTGAGGAAATGGAGTGCAAACAAATATATAGGTATTTCCATATATTTGTGAGTGTGTGAGTGCAAGGAAAGACGTATGAAAAAATAGATGAGGCATAATTTAGAGGGGTGGGGCAGAGATCTGGGAGGAAATGACAGATTCATCTGAGACCTGAAAGATGTAGTAGGAGTTATCCAGGCAAAGAATTAGGATCCAACGTGAAGTAAATTAAGTGGAAATCCCTGATGTGGAAAAAAAATTGGTGTTTTTTCCTACTGTAGTCTAGGGTTGCTGGTCCATAGTGAATGAGGTATAAAGGTGTATGAGATAAAAGTGAAAGAATGGTCAGGGGGCAGGTCACATAGGCTGTGTAGGACATGTTGCCTAAGTAATCCTGACTGGGTAATGTGAAGCCTTCAAAGATGGGTCTATTGGGTGTGTGACCAGTGAATGATCAGGGAATGTCTCATTCATCTAATATGAAGTACATAGCAGAGAGTGCCCAGCACATGGTATGTGCTCATTTAATTTTTGTTTAATGAGTAATAGCTGTTTGGCTTTTCTATCAGATTTATGATGGAGATTAAATGAAGAAGGTATGCTAAGGTGCTTCACAAAACATAAAATATTGACCAAATGTTATTCTAGATGTGATTCAGAGTCTTGCTGTTTTGCTTACAGAGGTTCACTGCTAGGAACCCCCCCCCCCATTCTCTGTTAAACTAGCAAAATCTCTCAGTAAGATCATCCCATCCATAAATATGCTGATGTACTGAGTTCTTGCAAATTCAAAGTGCGTCTCCATTTGCCAAAACCTTTAACTAATTATGGGTGAGTGGAAACTACCTTATATCACACCATTATGTAGCACTCCTGGTGTTAGAGATAATTATGGGTGATATTGCCAGGGGCAGTATAGTTTTCTCTTCTATGCTGAATTTACTCTTTAAATCTCAATCTAACAAATTTATTATTTAAGAGCTGGATTAATACTGAGGAATAGCACCCTCTGAATTTGCATTTGGATGGGAGCAAGGCTAGTCACAGCAGGGTGTTGTTGCCACCAACTGTGGCACTTGGTTTTCTGATAATCAGTGCTTTGCTATTCTTGTGTTAAATATCTAGTTCTCTATTTGAGCTGCAGGAGCTTCAGACCAGACCATTGACTTAAAAGCCTACCTCTGTGCACTGTTGGTAGTAATATAAATTGGTAGAGTCCATTTGGAAGACAGCTTGGAAGTCCCTATGAAAATGTAAAATGTGAATACCTTTTGATCCAGTGAATCTGTACGAAAAAGGAACTGAACAAATGTCCCTTGTTACAAGAATGTTGGTTACCTTGTTGTTGCCCTTTTTTTTACTATGGGCAATCTTAATGTCCACCATGAGAGATGGATATGTTGATTATGGTGTATACACACTATGGGCTGCTGCTCACCTCAATAAGAAGAGTGAAGTAGATGTAGATACAGTGGCAGGGAATGATGATGAAGATACATTTTTCAGTGGGGAAAAAGGTGCAGAATGATATGTATTATAGGATTCCATTTGTACAGTAGAAAGAAGTGGGGGTTATGTTGGGATAGATAGATAAGAGTTTGAATATATGTTTACTTACATATGCTTAGGAAATTTCTGGAATGAGGCATTAGAGACAGTTCTCTATTACCTTGGACATTAGGGGTAGTAGGTCTAGGGGTTTTTAAATTTTCACTTGACACCTTTTTTATAACTGCTTGACTTTTTACAACAACCTAGGATATCTCTATAAATAATAAAGTTTAAATAAAACTATACCCCACTAGATTTCTTCCTTGCAACTACTAATTTTTTTTTGTAAGAAGTAAAAGGTATACTAATGGTTGAGATGGGAAGTCAAATCCAAAGAACAGTAGGCAGAGTTGGGGGGGGGGTCATAAAACTATGGGCCTCTAAAAGTCACCAGGAATCATCTATGGACATAGGGCTTAGGGGAGATGTTGCTTTGTTAAATCTTAATGCTAAGAAAATAAATAAGATTAAATTATATAAAGATTGTGATTTTATTAGTTTTTTGATGAAACATTATAATTATATCATTAGTTTTAATCTCTTGCGGGTTTAAGTACCTAAACAGTATAGTAATTGTATTACAGACCACAGTTTAAAAATTAAATGTCTCAGTGTCTAGAATAATAGCTGTTGTTCTTGTTCAACTCATTTGAATGTTGTAAGTGAATCTAGCCTACAATTTCTTGAGCCTTTTGCTTAAGGACCTGAAGAGAAATAGAGGTATGTATGAAGTAGAGGAGATATAAGTTTTCTAATATTTACATTATGGAGTTTTGCTTAAATTAAGTATTCAAATCCCTTCAGGCTTATTCACCTCAAAAAGAGGGCTTTGGCCTGTGATACAAGAAGTCAAGGGATATTCATCTGAGTGGCCACTTGATTTGGTATAATGCACAGTTCCTTCACCCAGTTGTGGGTGTTCAGAGACAAGAGTGACTGTCCCATGGTAAGTGACCCTAATTATCTAATATTTGTAATATTAGTCAGGAGATGGACTGTGGAAAAGTTAATAGACCAGTAATCAAGACAAGGACTGGGGCTGTAGCTCAGTGTTAGAGTGCTTGCCTAGCATGTGTGAGACACTGGGTTCGATCCTCAGCACAACAAAAAAATAAATAAAAGGTATTATGTCCATCTACACCTAAAAATATAAAAAAAGGAGCAAGATAAGTTTTATTCTAGGGTATAAATGGAGAAAGCTATATATTTTTGCAGGTGGTAGAAACTGGAGTGATGGGAATAATTGCAAGAAAGGAGTTAAGATTATAATTTCAGGCTACAGGTGGCAACTAAAAGACTGGAATAATAAAGAGTAAAACTTCTCAGAGATTTTTCTGGTTAAAGGAACCAGAGAACATGAGGACCTTGCTGGCGTATGGTTTGGATTGAACTTGAGCCTGGAGGTTATTCATAGTGGACAGGGCAGGAAGAGTCTTACCTTTGCTAATGATCACAGAGGCTGTTAGAAATGGCTCTAGCTTTGACCAAGCATGAAGAAGGGAGGAACTGGGAAGAGAAACTAGACGTCCTAGAAAGTCAGACAGAGAAAATCCTGAGCTATGAGTGATTTGGATGGTGGCCTGAGAACCCATACTTGGCTGCCCTGGGTAAAGGATGTTGCTTAGATTTCTCACTCCATAGTAAAATATTCTGATTTGACTGAAGTTGAGAAAGAGACGAAATAATAAATGTTGTCATATATTTAAGTACTTACCATGTGTGTTTAAAAGTGCTTCACATGAATTATCTCATTTAATTTTTACAATAACTACCCAGGAGGCAGGAACTGAGGTGTAAAGTGCTTGAGTAATATTCTAAGATTGTACCTGGTGGAGCCTGTGTCCAAGGCAGCCTGGCTCTAGAACTTGTGCTTTTAGTTAGTGTGTATTCCTAGGAGAGCAGCTCTCAGAATCCCTCCTCCACTACAACTCCAAGATAATTGGGGTAGTGGTCAGTTGTGAAAGAAAGGAACTTCCTATTAGAGTACCCTTGCTGTGATCCTAATATGCAAGTGAAATGATTTCAAGAGGTGAGAAAGCAGAAGACTTGAATAAGCAGCCTGTGGGTAAGTGGAATAGATTTCTATGGCCAAAATTTCATATTCTTTCCAAATGTAAGTAGGTAATTTTGTGAGTGTTTCTATGTGGAAGACATTATTACTAAGTGTCATGTGTGGGACTAAGAAGATTCAGAAGCAGACACTTTCCTCCAAAAAGCTAGTTTCTGAGTGTTATGGTTTGGATGTGAGGTGTCTACCCCAAAAGCTTATGTGTGAGTCAATGCTAGAAGGTTCAGAGGAGAAATGATTGGGTTGTGAGAGTCTTAACCCAATCAGTGAACTAATCCTCTGATAGGGATTCACTGAGTGGTAACTGAAGTGGTAGGGTGTGGCTGGAGGAGGTGGGGATTGGGGGCGTGGCTTGGGGTATACATTTTGTGTCTGAAGAGTGGAGTCTCTACCTGCTTCCTGATCACCATGTGAGCTGCTTTCCTTTGCCGCCTTCTTCTGCCATGATGTTCTGCTTCACCTTGAGCCCCAAGGAACGGAGCTGGCCTTCTGTGGACTAAGACCTTGGAAACTATGAGCCCTCAAATTTTTCTTCCTCTACAATTGTTCTGGTTGGGTCTTTTAGTCAGACAGCAGCTAAAAAGCTGACTAAAACCTGAGGAAGTTAAAATATGTGCACAAATACATGACCCAAGGTAGTGTTAGAGACATGTTCTAAGACAGATATAGAATACTGCAATAGTTTGGATTTTAAATGTCCCCCAGAGGCCCATGTGTTGAAGTCTTGGTTCCAAGCCTGTGGTGTTATTGGGAGGTGGCGGGATCTTTAGGAGGTGGGGCCTAGTGCAAGGATGATATTGGGAATATGCCCTTGAAGAAGATATTGGGACCCCAGTCCCTCCTCTTCTGCTCTCTTACACTTCTTGGTTGCTATGAAGTAAGCAGCCTCCTTTGCCATGTGCTCCCACCATGATGTACTATCACACTACACACCTTAAACAATGGGGCCAGTTTACCATGTAGCGAAGCCACCAAAAATGCCAATCAAAACAAACCTTTCCTCTTTTTAAGTTGACTTATCTCAAGTATTTGTTACAGTAACAGATGACTAACAAAAATACCACAGGATTCAGACAAAGGTGAGTAGGTAGCATCTGAGTTTGTCTATGTATTATGAGTAGGTTCTTCTATTGTTAGAGTGCTTGTGTATAATTTCAGTCAGCAAAGTACCAGGTACCCTTGAGAAAATAGAAAGTGTCATTCTAGGCCTGTTACATTTATATGTGTTGTCTCATTAAACCTTGGTAACAACCCTTTGTTGATCAAATGATTTTTCAGACCAACACACTTGAGAGTAGAGTGCTAATCAGCTTGAGTAGGCATAAATAGGGACTGACCCAGGGAAACCAGGACCAAGAGGCAGTTTGTATTATTCCCATTCAACACATGAGAAAAATGAGGCCCCTGTCGCATAGCTGGAAAGTGATGGTACTAGAACTTAATGGATCTACAATTAAGAGGTCTGGACTTTATTCTGTATGCAATGAGGTACAATTAAAGGACATGAGCAGAGAATTGCCATGGTCATAATTATGCAGGACAGATGGGAAGGCAAAACTGAAATTGGAGAGATGATTTAAAAGTTTGCTGCAAAGATTAAATAGAAGATTTTATAGGATGTTGACTTTGCAGAATTGAAGGAAGTGCTAAATGAGAGATATCACGAGGGAAGAAATGACTATGTTTGACTGCTTGTCAACTTTGAAGAGAGGGGAATCAAAGATGACGTGAGATTTCAAAATCTTAGTGAAGACATTGTGTTTACTTAGTACATTAGAAGCCATTGTAACTTAGAAAGGCAGGGTGAGTTTTCATGAGCATACTAGATTAAGAGAAAATCTGCTTCCCATTTAAAATGACCTACTGTACTGTAATCAGGAGCAAATTATTTAATACCTCTTTGTCTAAAGTTACTCTTCTGTAAAGTATAATGCTATTTGGTACTACAGAGACTCCTGAACTAGCACACAGTGTCTTTTACCTCCTCATTTTTGAAATTTGAGAACCCATGCTCAGTAATGTGAATTCCAGTATTGAATGTAATTTTTACATCTTATTCCTAAACAATAATTGTAATATTAATAATGATGAGTTATCTTCCTCTGCTGAATTCCTGCTTCTGTTATGCCTCTAACTGATAATTACCAGGTGAATTGTAATATCAGCTTTATAAAACTTTTCTATCATTATCTTAAACCATAATTTAAATTCTTTATCATGGTATAACTTTTTGTATGTTTATTTTAGCACCTCAAATAGAGTAGAAGACACTTGAGGTACAGGAACATAGTTTATGGTCACTCTGTTCCTTCTAATGCCTTAAATAGAGGCACCCAGGAGATATTTATTGATTTGATTCAACCAGTTCATATGGCACAATAGTTCTCTTGCGTGTTATGCTCTGTTATTATGGTCTCATGTTACTGGGTTTTGGTAACTACGCCTGTGAGTTCATCATGAGTCCATGGCCCACTTTTCCCTCCAATTGTCTGTCTGTCCCTCCCTTTACATAAAAAAAAAAGTTTCACAAATTTGCATGTTATCCTTTGTGCAGGGTCCATGCTAATCTTTTTTCTGTGATTCCAGTTTTAGTGTATGTGCTGCTGAAGTGAGTACTCTTGATTTTTTTAAAACAAGAACTTTTCTCTCTATGCCTTTACTTAAACATTAATATAGGTAAATTTATATTCCTTATTCATATTGTTAGTTTTAGCTTTATTATTATACATATTTTATAAATGTTTTTACCCGAGTAATTAGTAAAATATTGCTTCATATATTTGTTTTTTTGTTGCTGTATAATAAATTACAACTAACTTCGTTGCTCAAAACAGCACACATTAATTATCTCCGTTTCCGTACATCAGGAGTGTGTTATGGTTCAGCTGGTCCTCGGCTCAGGGTCTCACATGCTGCACTCAAGGTGCTGCCGAGGCCTGTGGTCTCATCTCAGGCTTAGGGCCCCCTTCCAAGCTCATGTTGTTGTTGGCAGAGTTTAGTTCTTTGTGGCTGTAGGACTGAGGCCCTAAGATCTTGGGAGCTGCCTGCAGTTGCTTGCTATGAGGCCCTCTCCATAGGCAGTTCACATTATAGCAGCTTGCTATAATGTACAGGCAATTGCTATAATGTAAAGGATTGTATAATCTTACAAAATATACAGTCTATCTGTCTTTCTTTCTCTTTCTCTCTCTCACACGCAAAGGGAATGAAATCACATCACCCTTGTTGTATTCTGCTTGTCAGAACCTAATCACAGGTCCCACTAATGCTCAGGGCAAGAGCATTGTTTAAGGAAACGAACACCAGGAGATTCATATTGTTCGGAGTCACCTTATGATCTATCTGCTACACTTGGCATAGATCTGTATCGGGCTAATTTAAAACTTTTCAATTTACTATCAATCCATCATTGAATGCTCAGTGGGTAAGACTGCTCTAAGACAGATGTGAGTCTAATGAAAAATGATGTTCAGTACTTTGCCTAAAATAGTTCATCGCGTGGGACCTTTTGCTGAGATTGAGTGCTGGAGGGAGAATACTGTGGTAGGTATGGTGATTTCAATTTGGGAGCCCATTAGATATCTAGGTAGAGATGTTCATCTCTGCTTTTCCTGGAGTTTAGGAGATGGTCTGGGCTGAACTAGAAATATGGGAATCCCTCAATAATAGGGAGTTAGTGGAGCCTAGGATATGGGGATATTTTTGAGAGAGGAAAGCTGCCAAAGCTAGAATTCTGGGGGAAATCCAGTTTCTCTCTCTGAGGGATTCCCCTGACCTCTGGGAAATGAAGAAGGAAACAAATGAGTTATGTAGCCTCAGAGGAAAAGTTGTATTATTTTTCTGCCTACAGTCCCATCTCTTCCTTTTTAAAAATGTATTTATTTATTTTTTTTAGTTCTAGGTGGACACAACACCTTTATTTTGTTTATTTATTTTTGTGTGGTGCTGAGGATAGAAACACCAGTGCCTCATACATGCAAGGCAAGCGCTGTACCACTGAGCCACAACCCAAGCCCTCTTCCTGTCTTTTATTAGGTACTACTTATCCAATTATTCCCTTTTTCTTTTCACTGCACCCTTTGCTATATTATCCATAAACATGTTCTGGTTTTCCTTTGCTGTGCCACCTAGCTACCATTACCTATTGAGCCAACCACTTACCCTTTCTGGGCCTCAGTTTTCTCAAAGATTGAAGTGTGTGATGTAGGGAGAAGAGTATGATTTTTTTTGGTAGTGGGGATTGAACCCAGGGGTACTCAACCACTAAGCCACATCCCCAGTCCTATTTTGTATTTTATTTAGATACAAGGTCTCGCTAAGTTGCTTAGTGCCTCACTAAATTGCTGAGGCTGCCTTTGAACTCAGGATCCTCCCACCTCATCCTCCTGAGCCACTGGGATTACAGGTTTGTGCCACAGAGCCTGACGAGGATACGATTTTTTTTTAAATATCTTTATCTATCTATCTATCTATCTATCTATTTATTTTTATGTGGTGCTGAGGATCGAACCCAGGGCCTTGCACATGCTAGTCAAGCACTCTATTGCTGAGCCACAATCCCAGCCCTGAGGATATGATTTTTTAAGAAACCTCTTTTAGATCTAATTTCTGTTCTGCCATCTTGTTTCTCTCCCCTTTTCCCTTTTTGATTCTGTTTATTAAGTTCCCTATTGAAACTTCTTTCCCTTGGCCACAACATTGTTGCACTCCCATAGTTCTCTTTCTGTCTGCTTCTCCCACTGTTTCTCCATTGCTTTTATTTCCTCTTGCCCCTTAATGATGTCCATACTTAGGGGTGTCTAGTTCTTGGGCTTTTTTCTCATTATTCCCTATGCCTCTGAGATCCCATCTACTCTCTTAAAAATAATACAGAAGCATCTAGAGTGAAAAGCAAAAATGGCCTTTCAGCCTCCTCCTCTAAGGTAACCACCATTATCATGTTGGTGTCCTTTCTTCCAGGTGTTGAATCCCATGCCCATAAACAGGGTAAACTCTAGTGTTCAGCAGGATCTGCGGGCAGAATACCCTTACTTTGAATGCTCCACTGACAGTATATCAGCTCTGCTAGCTTAATGACTCTGGACTTGTGGTTTGTTCTTTCTCATCTGTGGTTCTTCTATGTATTATGTTTGTTTCTTTTTGTGTCCCATAGTATTGAAGAGTAGGTATTCCTTACATGTTTGGTTGATCCTATGATCTTATGACTGATAATCTGTCATTAGTACTTCTTCCTAATTTGTTTATGTGCATAGACCCAAGGAAAGAGAATAAGTTTCTGTCAGAACTTCAGATAAAAAGGTGGTGATAGAGCCTAGTCACTGGGAACCAGAACTTGTACTTGTGCACTTTGGTGGGTAACAGGAAGTATGGGGGCATGGTGGAGGAGAATGGGATGGTGGATGGGTAGTATTGAAATTTTTGGTCAGATGTCTAAAAAAAAAGGCTAGGGACATAGATCAGTAGTAGAGCATCCAAATTCAGTCCCCAGTAGCACAAAAAAAGGGCTTGGGATGTGGCTTAGTTGTAGAGTATCTCTGGGTTCAATCTTAGCATGTACAATGCCATGGGTTCCATCCTTAGCACCAGAAAAAAAAGTTGAGTAAAAATGATTCAATCTCAAAAGGTTACATGCTATGTGATTCCATTTGTGTAACATTCACCAAATGACAAAATCATAGAGATGGGGGGCGGGGGAGAGAAGATGAGTAAAGAGGGAATCAGGATGAGATTTCTTTTTTTAAAAAAATCTTTATTTTATAAATTTATTTATTTATGTGGTGCTGAGGATTGATCCCAGTGCTTCACACATATTATGAAAGTGCTCTACCACTGAGCCACAACCCCAGCCCCCAGGAGGGGATTTCTGTGGTGATGGAACAGTCCTGTGTCCTGATCAAGGTGGGGCCACATGACTACATGGCATACATCTGAACACCTTGGGTCAATGCCAGTTTCCTGGTGTTGCCATTAACTCAGTTATAGAAGATGTTATCATTGCAGAAAACTGGGTGAAGGGTATTTAGGAACTTTCTGAATTACTTATACAACTTTCTGTGAATTCAAACATATTAAAAAAAAAAACCTTTAAAACTGGGGAAAAAAAAAAAAAACTTTAGCCAGTAAATTAAAGCCAGAGTGTTCACATTAAAGAAGTACATCATGGGCTCTAAAACTTAAATATCTTAATCCCAAATATTAACTACCAAAATCGCAATTTATTTAGAAACATGTTTTAGACCTGAAAAAGATAGATGGATAAACTTCACAGTGTAATAGGTCCATAGAGTAATTGCATGAGTCTATTCCACTATACATGTATTAAATGGAAAAGTACCATTTGAGAATCCAGATTGCCAATAGGTATCGATCATTGCATGTTGTATTGATTAGGTGGTCATAAGCCGTGATAATTTTCAGTGACACTGAAAATTGAAGGTCTCTGTATAAGTTTAATTCCAAAGGAATTTAGAGTAGCCATAGTAAAGGTTTTCAACCAAGGGCAGTTTTGCCTCTGGGGATATTCAGTAGTGCTACAAGCATTTTTGGCTCTCACAACTGTGGGCAGGGAAGAGCCCATGGAGGCTGCTAAATATTCTACAATGTACAGACCAGCCCCCTGCAACAGAGAACTTTGTAACTCAAAATATCAATAGTACTGAAATTGAGAAAACAGTTCTAGGAACTTGGAGTAGGATGAGAGATCTGTGAATATAATCATTTGATGCCCCTTTGTGTTTATGCTGATATCCTATAATTCTTTTGTAAAATTTTTTATTTGTTCTTTTTAGTTATGCATGACAATAGAATGCATTTTGATATATTATGCATACATGAATTATAACTTCCCATTCTTGTGGTTGTACATGATGTGGAGTTACACTGGTCATGTATTCATATATGAACACAGGGAAATTATGTCTGATTCATTCTACTGTTTTTCCTATTCCCATCCCCCTCCCTTACCTTCTTTCCACTTTGTCTAATCAAATGAACTTCTATTATTCCCTGCCCCACCATTAGAAGCCACATATCAGAGAGAAATGATGTCGTGTAATTCTTAACCTTGCTACTTATTTGAAAGCTGGGGGATATGATGATTTCTTGGATTTCAGTGATAGCAGCATAAATATTAGATAGATTTATTCTTTATTTATTTTGCTAAATATTCTAGTTGTTTGAATATTGAAGTAAATTTTCCCAGAACTGTAGATGCTTATTTTTTAAGGAAAAACAATTGTGAAACACTTAAAGAGAGATAAATAAGAATCCTAAGGCTTGATGCAGCTTCATCATGAGTGATTTTGTATTTTAATACTTAGTATTACTTTATCCCAAACTGAGATAGATTTTGAGTGGATTGCCCAAAGTCACACTTATTCACAAACCCAAGGCCAGAAATAATGTTCCTTGTTCCTTCAATTTGGCTATGTCTTATGTATCTCATCTGTACTTTGAGTGTCGTGAGCAGCACAATTAATATTTGACAAAATATCAGATGGTCTTAGATGCTGGGAATTTTATATATTTATACAAGAATATTCAATCTTCCCATTTAAAAAGAAACACCAAAATAACTCAATATAATGCAGAGTAAAATGTAAGTTGGATTTTTTGCA